ATATATATATATATATATATATATATATATATATATTTAATGTGCAAACTTATTTTATATAGATATAAACTTATATGTATACGTATATCAAAACTTTATTAATATCTTGAAGACTATTTAAAGTCAATAAGCATTGCTGGTACAATATCGCCTTTCTTCAACACTTGCTTTTCCGCTGTTCGTCCTGGCAGCATTAAAAGAGCGTTAGCACCTTTACAACTGAGTAGTTTGCTACTAATTTGATTTCCAGTAATATGAGCCTCTGGAAGCGGTTCATCGTTATTCCATTTCAAAATTGCTCTTGCATATTCAGGACGAGGATCCAAATTATACAACGACATCAACTATAAAATTAAAGTAAGATTTTATATGCAACATACGTATTTCTGTCTTGAAAAACGCAAAAACTATTTTATAAACCTTAGCTTGTACTATGACTGGTTCTGAGGCGTCAGCACGCATCTCATTTAGAAGTGGCAAGAGGAATAAACGTGCGGTAACGGTAGCGGATACCGGATTTCCCGGCAAACACAGAAAATATTTTTTTTATTTAAGAATGTGCATGTTGCAAATGTCGTTGGCTTTCCTGGCTTCATATTTACGCGTCCTAAGAAAATGTTAATAATCATATAAGAAAAATATATATTTCAATATAACAATAAGTAATGATAATTAAAAAGAAGAATACCAAAGTATATAACGGCATTAAAATACATTTCTAAGATAGGCTTCAATATATCTTTATCACCCATTGATACAGAACCCGTTGTTACAAGTACATCCACTTTCTTTAAAGCTTCCGTGATCTTGTGTATCATAACATTAGTGCTACAAAATTATTATAATAATTATTTATAATCAGTATGTTAATGAAAAGTGTTATAACATATATTGGAAATGGAATAAGTTTTAACGTACTCGTCAACCGCAATTCCACAATCTAGAGAATCAAAGCCATTTTTCTTTAATAATGAAATCAAAGTTATTTTGTTACTATCGTAGACATGCCCTGGTCTTAAAGGATGTCCAATATCTTCTAATTCATCTCCAGTGGACAATATACCTATACATGGAAGTTTAGTAACTGTAACGAATTTGCAGCCACAAGCTGCCAGAAGTCCTAATTCTGCTGGACCAATATTCGTGTGTGAATTTAATACTAAGCTTCCTTTTTCTATATCGCAACCAATAGGTCTTCAATAATACACAAATAAATAAATAAATTTCTTCTAAAAATAAAATAAACCCATTTCGAATGTCAGAAATTGCTAAGTTTTACCTGATATCCTGTCCTTCTTTTGGTTCAAGCATTATCTCAATTTCTTTCTCTTCTGTTGTAGCAGAATTTGTTAATACTAGCTTTGTATCCTCAACTTGTACAACCGCTGTCGCTTCTGCAAACAGACAAAAAAAGTAGCAAATATAAATCAATGTAATTTGCAATTACAACTGCTTACCATCAGGAATAGGCGCTCCAGTATTTACACGTACACAAGTACCGGGTATAAGGGAAATCAAAGCGGGCTGAAAAAATTTTTTGTTAGAATTTTCTTTCTTGCTTCATACTGAATCTATTATTGCAATTTACCGCAGTCCCTGCTTTCACGCCACACAGTACCGTTCTTCTGCCTTTTCCGTCGCTTGCTAGTACTGCGTATCCATCTTTTATGGAAGCTCTAAATGGTGGCAGGTCGCACTCAGAATATACATTCTCGTACAATATTCTACCATAGGCATCTTTTACATTCACAATTTCAATTTGCTTTCCCTCTACACTCGTACGTATTATCCTCACTGCTTCCTCCACAGAAATCATGGGAAATGGGGATTCTCTAAGACGTTTTGTCACATTCTCGAAATCCATCTGGAATAATGTAATTATATGCATAATTTCAAGATTTATAAAATTATTATTTTGTTTCCGATATAAAAGGCGTCTTACTGGCTTTGTAGACGCATTATGCGAACATGATGTAATATTATGTTGCACAATATTATGTGTATCTTTAATTTTTTCTTTATCATCCAAAATCAAATCTACAGCATGGGGTATAACAGGTGCAATTGCAGTTAGGCATTCTATTGCGGCTTTACGTGAACCAGGCAAATTCACAATAAGTGTTTTATTTCGTATTCCACATACAGATCTAAGGATGTACGAGTTATGAGAAGCTCTAGAAACTTTAAAGAGTTTAGAGAGCAAATAGAGATGACCTTACCGAGAAAGCATAGCCATTGGTGTTACTTTCAGGCTTGATATGAGCATTGCTGAAGATAGTCCAGGAGCTTCTTTGTGGATAACTTTTTTAGTTGCCTCAGGAGTAACATCTCTTTTGGAAAATCCAGTGCCGCCAGTGGTGAGAATAACATCAGCTTTATTCTCATCACTCCAATTAATTAAATGTTTCTATATGTCATATAAATATGTAATTTGCATAGTCATGAAAAAAATACTTAAAATGTCTAGAATACAACTACCGCTATTAATGCTTCGTTATCTTCCACAATTGCAGTACAAGAAACTTCTCCTTGCAATATACTTTTGTCTGAATCTGTAGCACTGACGAGCACTTTTAATCCAGGACCACTCTCATCTGTTTTCTCACCTCTAGCACAACTATCACTTACTAAAAAAGTTATAACAGTTACTTATAATTTATGATACATGCAATACGATATATATATATATATATATATATATATATTAAATATATGAATAATTCTATAAAAATTATTAATAATTAGATATCGAACGAAATGTAAATAATGATATTTAATTTTCAAGCTTTTATCAATATACAAGCTATATACAAGCTATATACAAGCTTCTAAACGCATTCTATATAAATGTCAAATATTACCAGTTAATATTGCAAATCTTATCGGTGCCATTTTATCCTTCAACAATTTTAACGATTTATGACTAAATAATCTCTTATCAAGTCAATAATAAGTAAGATATATTCAATATCTCACAATATCTACTGAGCTATATGACATTAAGAAAATCAGTACTGACAGGTGGCAGCTCACTAGTTAGAGAGAAAATTTTTTCGTTATAGCTGCACCATGTCATACTTTCTGCACTTAAAATGAAATAGATACGTAATTAACTATTGGAGAGAAAAAAAAAGAAAAATGGAAAATACAGAAAATAAACTACAAAAAAAATACAAGTTCAATCAAGAATTTATTTGGACTTTTGTGCATTGATATCAGATTTATATATTTTATTTGTATATTTTTTAGAATTAGATTTTTTGCTCAAATAAAATATATTTCGTTCCATTTCATTGATAATTTATAATTACGTAAAGGATTACATAATTATATTATTTTTAATTTTATGATGTTGTTAATGAGATAGGTATTGATGTATAGAAAGTAGTCAGTATTGCCCCTTGTGAAATGATCAGCTTTATTATTGAATAATTACATAACAATAAGATACATAGCGAAGTGCACTCAATTCTAGAATACAACAGTATCACGTTTCCATCTTTCGGCTTTGCATATGAAACAAAGTGATAGACGATCTTTTGTGACGTTAACTATTCTCAACGTGATTCTTCTAGTTTTTCATATATGCATCGCAAGTTGATTGACGCGAACAGTAGTAATATACAAATACTTCCATTTATTTGATTATATCGTAAGGCGGATTAAGCCGCGCTGTATATAATCCATGTGACGCATGTTTAGAACAATCTTGCGGCAGGTCCATGTATCTTATCCTCGTTTATGCAACTCTTTCGGACATTTAGAGCGATTTAAAAGAGGAATGCAATTGAACAGGAAGTACTCGAAACGCCGGTTTCAAAATCATTTGAGGAAGATTAAACTGTGTGTCCTCAAGTCAATAGTCGACTAGGCCTCTGGAATAATGGAAAATGGCATGGTTTTTTTCAGCAGCAAACAAAACTTACTTCATTATATTTAATCGCACCGAATCAACATTGATCAACAGTGCTTAATCAATCTTTTTTTCTATATTGATAATCTAGACTATATAATAGAGGCAATCGCTAATGTCCAGTAAACTCGAATTTATTATCAGTGCAATTTTAGGCATCAGAACCGAGGGATTTTACCGATTGTTCCTCGGACTCAGTGAACGAATGGGTGAATTTCTGTATCTTCTACGTGATTCGGTTCTACCCCGATCGCGATCATCGCGCCGATCTCTCTCCCTGTCCCTATCTCGCTCGCGATCGCCGTCCATGTCTCGCCTCTCGCGACGTACAGTATGATGTCTTGGACTACGACTCGGACTTGGTGTACGAGATACAGAAGACCGCGTGTCGGAACTATGACCTTCACAACGATGTCTTCGTTCTCGTTGTCTGAAAAGTGAAACAGAACTCATGTTTAAATTGATTTGAATCAGAATTTATAACACGTGAAAGATATTTACTTTCTACGGAGCTTCAAAGACATCTCTCGTATCTCATCTTCCCGATCTTGTCTCTGTTGCTCCATCTTCTCGATTCTCAGTTGCTCAGCCTTCTTATCAGCTTTATCTAAAAGAATATTTTTACAGTTTAAATTTGTTTTTTATCACTATACTTTACTTTTTCAGATATCAACTTACATTGCCTGTTTAACAGGGCTTGCATTTTTTTCTTAAGCCGCTCCTGAGGTGTAATTTTCAATGACTGAAAAATATAAACTCTTAAAGATCTATAGAAAGAAAACTACATAAATATTAGTGTTTTCGTGTATTTAGTTTAAAAATTTAGTGCCTATTATACATACAAAAATATATGTACATATATGCACTAATTATTACCAATTATAAAATATATAACTGAATATATATATATATATACTACAAAAAATTTGTCATTTCCTTCATCGAATAATTAATAGGATGCAATTAAAAGCGAATGAAAAAAAAAGACAACAAAATAATCAATATGATTTGAAATTTGTCCAGACGATAATTATCGAAATAAAATAATATGAGTTACGGAAATTTCCAAACTTTTTGTAGTTCTAATAATACATTAAAACTGCTCCAGAATTAAAAATAAAACAAATAAATGCAAAATATGACATCAATATGTCAGTGACGTGTAATATAATAAGAGCTTGTTGAGACTCTTCATTTAGATGGAAGAGAAAAAGAAAGAGACATACAGACATAATACTTATATAGATACCTATATAAGTATGTTTTGTCTTTATTCTCTGTGCGTTAAGTGACTAAGAAAGCGTTATAGTTCTTACTGACTTTGTGTCCGCCACCAGAATTTGTACTTAACCCTGCTTTTGGCTTGTTCCTGAAATATTTCAAAGATCAAATCTATGACAACTTCATATGCATAAATTAAAATTATTTATTGTTTATAAAATGCTTACACGTTTGTATTTATCGGTGTCTTCGGTGCTGCTGAATTGGATTTTTCTTCGTTATCAGACAGCTCTAGTTCAAGACTTGATGATTTTCCACGTCGGCCATAATACCTGCATGCAAAATAAATTATAGAATTAAGTTACGTTACAAGAATTAAGAAAGAAATCTGCAGGATCATTACCTCGGCAGTGCTGGCGTCTTATTATCATCGCTTCGCGATCGTTTACAGCTAGATTGACTTCTCGATCTCGATCTGGATCTTGATGGAGATTTCGATCTTGAGCGAGATTTGGATCTTGACTTTGACGGCGAATAGCGTATTTTCCGATAGCTATCTCTAGAATGGCTCCTGTTACGCGATTTTGATCTCGATCTTGATTTCGAAACACTGCTCGAGGACGAACTTCTCGATCTCTTCAAACGTGAACGAGATCTAGATCTTGTCCTCGATCGAGAAACCGAACGCGATCGAGATCTGCTGATACTTCTACAGCGCGATCGTGATTTACTTCGCGTTCGTGATCGTCTGGAGCGACTTCTTGTACGAGATCTTGTATATTTTCGAAGTCTCGAGCGTGTCCATCTAGATCTAAGATAGATTAAACACCATATTTATTATAGAATAAAATATTAATTAATGTTGGTACCTATCTATTTTTTTATAACTTACCTCATTCTAGATCCACTTCGTTTTCTATCGTGTGTCCTATACGACTTAGTCCTACTAACGGAACGTGAACAACTTCTCGACCTAGACTTGGATATTTTCCTACTGATAGTTCTGTCATTGAAAGCAGGACTATCCGATCTCCGCCGTCTGAGATACGAATAATTGACCTTTTTGGAATTCGATGAGGATACATGTGAAGTACTACCATGAGTCTCTTCTTCCCCGCCAAAACTGGTGATATAAGTAATCTGTCCGGTATTTACAGGTGACGTAGACCGTGATCGTGATTTGGAAGAAGATTTTCTATAAGGATTATACTCCGGACTTTCTCTAGCCGCATAACTAAAATAAAAAATTTATATGACAAAAAATTCACTTTGAATCCGAAAAAATATAACAAATTATTACCTAGGTGGACTCATTACACGACCTATCATTTTCTTTTCCCTGAATGCACGCCTCTCTCTACGTGATCGTCGACCCTATTGTATTTCAAAATGGAAAACATTAAGATATTTTTTATATTAATATTAGACGTTTGATTATAGTATATTATATATGTAAAAATTGCTTTTTACCGAATACATAGCTTTCTCTTCTTCTTGTTTACGAGCCTGTCGTAAAGTTTCAGCTTCTTCGAAATCCTGTGTTAAAAAGCTAAAGTAATCAGCACCTAAAAGTCCATATTTTTGAGCTACTAAGTTCATTTCATGTGCTTGAGATGGTTCTATTTGAGATACATCCACGCATATATCTGAAAAAAATTATACAATAAATATACAATAAAAATTTATTATTTTGTAATCTTATTAAAAAATACAAGTAACATATTAAACAAAATAATGATACCTAAATCTATATCGCTATCTTCATCGTCACCCTTTTCTTCCGATACAACTGGATCTACAGTTTTAACTGGTTCTGGAATTGGCTCTTCAGTTTCATAATTATATCCGATGGCAGCATTATTAGAAGACTTCTTTTTATCTTTCGCAGCATCTAACTTTGTCGAAGAGCCAAACTGTTCTTCCAAATGTATTTGATGAAGAAATTTTTCCTCAGTAACTGAAGAGATGTTTGATTAAAGATATTGAAAAAGACTACTGAAAGGATCCTAGAGGGAAAACAACGTACCACCTAGGAATTCATTTTGTACAATTATACGATAACGTTCATAGTTGATATGTCTATCTTCGCTTGTCAGAGCAATATCGACATCTATAGTATCTACTGGCTCAGGTATCCAGTCCAGATGCGCTCGTACGTCAAAACGATCTATAAGATTGTCCTCATTACCTTGCCAAGGCATCCTGCCAATAAAACATTTCCCTCAATCAATGAACTAGTATAATTAGCATTTGTGTGTGTATCCTGTGATTATAATACTCACATATTTGCAGGACTGTCACCCGCGGCAGCTATTGCCGGATCCAAATGTATCTTACATGGTCTACCGTGTAACTGAAGAAATTGAGTAGGATCCGATTTCTAAGTGGAGCAGAACACATTTAATTATTATGTGTCTGATGTGATATTTCTGTTTGCATTGCGATTACATTTATTTAAATGTAAAAGAGAAACATGGAAAAAAAAAGAAGGAGAGGGAGAGAGAGGAACACATTTATAAAAAAATCGATGAAAAACCCTATTCCGTCGTAATAAAGGTTAATCGAGAAACAAAAGAAAAGGTATATATTTGCCATAAAAATGTGATTTTTTTTTCATATTTTTGACAAAAATAATGCGTGGGCATATCGATTCGTTCCAAAGTATACGAAGGGAGAAATGTTTTCGCGCGTTCTTACGATCTTCTCGTAGTAATCCCGTCTACGTTCCGCTCTGCGACGATAATCGACCAGCATGCCGCGGATCTTCTTTTCTTGCTTGCGTGCCTCGTGCCACATTCTGCCGCCGGTCTTCTTCACGGAGAAACTCATTTTTTTCCCGTCTCCACTGAATCAATTTCACGCGGCTAACTCGACGCGGGTGCCATCCGTCCAACTATAAACGTTAAAAAATTGAAGCACTAATAATTGACACGCTTTCCCCTGCCGCAAGACGGACATGTTGTCTTGCTCAGAGCTGCATCAGCGACCTCTCTCAGGATATACAAAAATCACTTTATTTCATCAGCTTGTTCGCGGCGTGATCAATAATTTGGATCAATAATACATTATATTATTTAATTCCCTTACTCTTTTTAAATACGTTATTAAACCAACTTAAATAGTTAAAATTATTTTAATATTTCGTATTAGTAATCATTTTACTTCACTAATAAATTTAATTCTATTCAATAAAAAATGATAATGATATTGCATTGCATGCAGCATTATACCTCCAAATTTTTCATTTACGTATATTATATACTTTTTATTTTATTTATATTTTATATAAATTATATATATATATATATAAATATGTAATTATAATAGCGTAGATTGTAATGATAGTATTAAATTTGACTAATTTAATTAATTTAAACACTAATTTAAAAAAATCAATTTTATAATTTTACTCAATAAACTGTGATATTAGATATTAGATAACGATATCGAATGCTGAATGCAAAAAATGTACGCGAGAATGATCTCTAATTATGCAATCACAGATCACAGATTTGTTTTTCCGTTCCTGCACTGAACCGCATAAAATTTTCTATCTCACTTTTTTTGTCAAATTTCGAATATATCCTTATTTCATTTTAAGTAAACAAATGTACATTAATTCAACTGCAAAAAAATAGATCAATCTCTTTCCCTTATCTCTTATAGTATTAATCTTAGAATTCGCTCTCTATTTTAGTTTTAGCGTTCGATATATATTTTACAGAAATATATTTTACTTTCCTTTTTATACGTTGCTTGACGTATCTCTGTTACGTTTCAATAATTCGTTTATCCGAAACCGAGAGAGGAAATACTTAAAATAATTCAAGACACACATATCAACGTCTCGGTAAATTAGCCAAACTAATTATATCAATATAATCTCCTACTCTAACAATGGAATTGTTACATTGCGACATTTTAACATTGTTAAATAGAAAATTATAACATTGATATAATGTTACATTGTGATATATGCTTATTAGGACGTTTCGTCAACATTTTACTTTCCTTTTCGAGCAATTCTCGTATAAGGGTTAATCGGTTGTAGCGCAAGAACGCGCTCAGAAAACGGAAGAAAAGGTAACAGCAGAAGGTGAAGATGCTTTTGTTTATTATTAACCTTATGTAATATCGTTTCAAATTTTCAATTACATTATTATATATAATAATAATTATAATAATCATCATAATAATGTTATGACAATGTATACACGTTAGATACAAGTTCATTTTCCTTCATTCGGTGTGGAGTTTTGTTAATTATTTTTTTTTCTCATTTTAATAAATCGGTTTTTTGTTTCTTAATTCTCACATTTTTCTTCTTCCTCTCTCTTTCTCTCTCTCTCTCTCTCTCTCACACACACACACACACGCTCGCGCGCGCACACACACATACATCCACACGTCCACGCGCGTTCTATCTTTCTTCTCACTCTCTCTCTCTTTCTTCTCCGTCTCATTCATCCCTTATGTTTTTGTCCCGATTAGCGCTTGCCGAACGAGACATCACCCTTTCATGCTCGACACTCAAATGTCGCTCGCGTTGCCTCTCAGGCACATCTCTCGCTCTTTTTTTCTTTCTCTCTCTCTCTCTCAGTCGTATTATAGTTATATTTGTTTCTGAACACAATGCTTTTACTCATGACGTTAGGAAACTTAGGTTACTTTACTTCCGCCGCAGTAACATGTTCCAAAGATCCCGAAATTAAAATTCTTCGCGGACGCGCCTCACGCGAGGACTTTCTCAAAGGCCGCTCGTGCGCTCCGCGTCGGATTGCAAGCGTAATCATCGAAAAAAAATGCTAATGAAGTACACGGACAAAACATTGTCATGGCTGCAGTGGAGACCGATCGATAATTAATAAAATATATATCGTGATATGATCGAAAATTAAGAAATGCGTCGATCTTCTGTTGCCCAAAATATTCGTTGAATTCTTCGAGTCTTCGATATGTACAAATGAGTGGATGAGTGTCGGAATAAAATAGACAATAAGTATTTTCTTCTTCTGAAGGCGGAACATGCAGATTTCTATTTTATAAAACTTGAAAAATTACAATAATCGATTCTCGTTCAGAAGGCACGGAAAGAATATGGGAATAAAAAAAGTCGGCACGTGATTTACGTTGGACAACAGACGATCAATCAACTTCGTTGAAAAATTGTTTCCGCATCAAGCATCAAACATCTAGAAATATGCGGACAATGCGTAGAAACATTACAGATATATGTCAGATAAAAAAGATAATTAAAATATTCGATTTACTTTTTCGTTTTGTAAATCAAACTCTCCATTAGAGCTTTCTCTATGTAAAAAAAAAAAAAA